GAGTGACTCTGGACAAGTCACTTTACCTCTCCCAGTCTTAGTTTCCTCATCTGTAAAATGGGGAGGGGCAATAATAGCACCTATGTCACAGGATTGTTGTGAAGATCAAAGAAGATATATCTGAACTGCTTTGCTAATCTTAAATCACTATATAAGTTCTGGCTGTTTGCACATTTACTATCTGGCTTTAAGGTAGAGGAGACAGGTAAGGATAGATTGGGGCAGATTTGAAAACTCTACAAATTTTCTCTCCTCTTCCAATTGTTCACCTGGAAGCAGCTTAAAAAAATCACTATATTGGGAAGAATGGGTAAATAATAAGGAATGGAGGTAGGGTTTGTGGGAAAAGGGGAGAAAAATCCATGTAAGAAATAGGAGGCAAAGATATTTGGTTCAGTCAAAAGTTCAGATGGACAATTGTTATAAATATTACCCAGGTGCCAGTAAAGTAGCAGATGTTAGAAAGAACATAGAAAAAATACATTTTTGCTGCACTATTTTAGTACCAAAGAACAAACTCCACAGGAAAGATAAATGAATATATTATTGAGTCATTCAGGCTCATGGAAATGATTAATGAGCTTGAACCAACAAGAAGCCTCATCAAATGGACCACTTAGCTGGATTTTCTTACAATGACTTACCTGGCTTAACAGTGACATTTACAAATCCTTCTCCAAAAGCATTTTCACCAGAAACAGCCACTTTGAAGGAATAAAGGCCTACAGGCAACTGTAACACATAGAAAAGTCACTAGTTACAGAGACAAACATGTCTTGAGAAATAGAACATTCATCACCTAGAAAAGTCATAAATCTTATCTACCTGAAGGCATGGCTCAAATGCCTTAACCACTTTCTCAAAGATGGAACATGAGAAAGGACTCACTGACAAATCTTCAATTCGAGTCCAGAAATTCACCAGACCCCTAAAGGAGATTGAATGTCCCAGGAGTCCTTAAAAAAATCCAACAGAGCTCTAGGGCATTTAAACAAGTAAAGAAGAACCTGTGTATAAACATCCTACTAGTTGATGAAGTGTTCAAATTAGCTACTATCATAAAAGATGAATGAATGAATGAATGAATGAACATTTATAGTAGATTTGCTATGTGTCAGGCACTATACCAAGGGTTGGAGGTACAAATACAAAAAATGAAACTTTCTCTGTCCTTAAGGAGTTTACAACCTAAGAGGAGATAACAGAGGAGTGGTGGCCAAAGAAGGGGCATGAAAGCAACTTAATTCATAATCACCTGGTAGAGAGTGAAAAAAAATGGTTCCTAGTTTGTGGGAGTAGTTGGTGCCACCTCCACATCCTTTCTTCTGTTTGGTACTTACATGTATTATAGGATAATATGCACTATATAAAGGGATTTGTTGTTTAGTCATTTCAGTTGTGTTTAACTCTGTGGCCCCATTCAGGATTTTCTTGGAAAAGATATTGGAGTGGTTTGCCATTTCCTTCTCCAGCTCATTTTACAGATGAAACTGAGGCAAACAGAGTTTAAGTGACTTGTCCAGGGTCACATAGCTAGTAGGTGTCTAAGGCAAGATTTAAACTCAGGAAGATAAGTCTTCCTGACTCCAGGCACAATGTACCACCTAGCTGCCCCATATAATGGGATTAATGGATTGCAATGTCTTGGCAAACTCAAGAAATGAGCCTGATGGAGAGCTGGGGACACCAGGTCCCAGAATCTATTTAACTCAGCTCACAGGGGAATAGCTGGAAAGTAGACAATAAATGCTCTGTAACCTGACTTCAGTGAAGAGCCAGACACGACTGAACAGCTGTAGTCAACTCAAGGAACAGGGTTTCCTGCATGAGAATAGCAATACTGAAGGAAATCAGTAACAAAGTCATTTGATTTTTTTTTTTAAATCTACAACAATGCTATCCACATTCAGAGAGAGAACTGATGAACTCTGAATACAGAGTGAAGCATTTTTTTTTTAAAGCAATTGATTTTTATTGAGCAAGAACCAAGGTACCCAAGAAATTTCCAGTCTTCTCGTAGCCAAGCACTACATAATGATGTCAAGCACCAGGGTGGCTTCTATTCTTACTATTATGCACTACACAGGGATCATGACAAATATCTAAATGATGTTGAATGCAATCATACAATACAGTTCCCATATAAAACAGACAAGGGGCCCATTTACAGGAAGGACATTTTTGTGCATCTACTATCCCCAAACAGGAACACAAAATGAAAACTGTCAAAAAAAAAAAAGCAACTTTAGGGATATATCTGTACAGGTGTGTTTTTATTTGAATTGGTTCCACTAGCAACAGTTTATGATGACTATATAAAATTTCAGAAAGGATCTTATTTATGTGTAGTAAATTGACATTGTTCTTTATCTAGATACAGATCTTGATACTGAGTCTCTTGTTGACAGATGTGCAGTCAGTTTGTCTCGGAAATCATGGAGATAATTATATTGCTTTATGGTCTATATGGCCCCAGATCCACTTAAATCTCCAAGGTTGTCAATTGCCTGCTGCGGTGATCCTGTATCAGATATATATAGTAAGAGGCATGCTGCTACAAGACAAGATAGCCAAGTCTTCCATAACAATGTATTAAGGTTTTCCAGTTATTTTCAAGACAGACTGCAAGCTCCTATAGGATTCCACAACATCAGTCTGTGTCAGGCGTATGTCCATCTGGGATGGGATAGTGGTGAATGATGATTCCACATTGCTGACAGAAGTTTAAAAGGTTTGGTACCCAATATTTTGACAGTTCTCCTCTGGTACAGAACACAAATATATCTTGTATATCATAGTTCTTTAGTTCTTCCATGTCCTTTTGGATATTTCTCCTAACAACTTTAAATTTACAACCTGGAAGAGAACATAAACCTAGAAACTGAGAACAATTCACAAGGGATAAGGGTAGCCATGATACCTGAAATGGAGTCTGTTCGTTTTCAACTGGCTCTTCATTGGATGAGTCAAACTCACTCGTCTGCATGGTACTGGGCACCTTCGTTACCTTCACAGCCAGGCTGCTGGAAGCTCGACGTCAAGCACGTGTGAAGTATTTTTAAACTTTATTTTTCTTGCTTATTTTTTTTTTTTGCAACATGTCTAATAGGGAAATAAGTTTTGCACAACTTCACATGTATAATAGGTATTATATTGCCTGCCTTCTCAATGGGAGAGGATGGAAGGAGGGAAAGAATTTGAAACTCAAAAAAATTTTAAATGAAATGTTAAAAAAGTAAAAATTATATTTATTTTTAGTTTTCAATAATCACTTTCATAAACTTTTGAGTTTTAAATTTTCTCCTCCTCCCTCTCCACCTCCCTCCCCAAGACAGTGTGCAATCTGATATACATTTTACATATACATTCCTATTAAGCATATTTTCACATTAGTCATGTTTTAAAGAAGAATTAGAACCAATAGGAGGAACCACAAGAAAGAAGAAACAAAACAAAACAGAAGACAAAAAAAGAGCTAATAGTATGCTTCAATCTGGATTCAAACTCCCTATTTCTCTCTCTGGATGTGGATAGAATTTTCCATCATGAGACCTTTGGAAACGTCTTAGATCCTTGCATTGCTGAGAAGAGCTAAGTCTATAAAAGGTAGTCATCTCCAACATGGCTGTTACTGTGTACAATGTTCCCCTGGTTCTGCTCACTTCACTCAGCATCAGTCCATACAAATCTTTCTACATTTTTCTGAAGTTCACCTGCTCATCATTTCTTATAACACAATAGTATTCTGTTACATTCATATACCACAACTTGTTCAGCCATCCCCCAATTGATAGACAACCAAAAATTAAATTTAAAAAAAATAATAAAAATCTATAACAGTCAGAGTTCCAAAAAGGGACCTTTCAAGGACTAAAGAACCCAGATGATGTTAGCAGAAAGCTAGGACTAAGAGTAGAATACGATGAGGCTACATCCTACTTACCTGAGAGAGATTAAGAGTTTGCATGTATTTTTGTTCAATTTCACCCTGATAGTCCATGGGGTGGCTTATCAAACTCCATTCATAGTAGTAACTTGTTTCTAAAAAGGAAAAAAAAATCCATATTTAAGAGTTGTTAGCTTTTCTTTGTGTGACAGTTCATATACACATTAGGAGAAAGGGTGATAACAATGACCTCAAGCCAAAAGGTCCGATATTGATACTGGCCTCAAATCTTTGAGCTCATCTCCAAGTACAGAACAACAGGTTTTATATCTCTGAAACGAGATGATCTATCTCATTGCCATCTGATTTATTAGAGAGCTTGAAATAACTTTACAAGAGGTTTTCTACTAAATCTATTACAAAGGATTTTCCTTAACCATTTTTTTTTTGTGTTATGGACCTGTCTGGTGGCCTGGTGAAACCTACGTACCCCTTCCCTGGATAATGCTTTTAAGTGGATAAAATGAAATACATAGGATTAATAAAAGAAACCAATAATAATGAAATACAGTTATCAAGATAGTTTGAAAAACTAAGTTCCCAGACCCCAAAATAAGAATCCTTGCACTAAAAAATCCCCCCAAAACTAAAAACTAAAAAAGCATCATCTTTTTTTGCTGCTACAGGTTTTAGCCATAACTCCACATCTCCCTACCTCCCCCAGGTGGGACATGACCCCAGGCTACAGGTTCTGCTGACATCCTCAGCTCCACAGAGATCTGAACCAGTTATAACCTTGCCCTTAGTACAGGGTTTGTTTGTTTTTCCATTGTTTTCTACAAAAAAATAATATATAGCTAATCTCTGGTTCCACCAGTTGAACTAACATTCAAGATTCTGCCTGTACTATTGTCAGCTGAAGGAGAGAAACTGGGATTTAAAGGCAGAAAAAGATAAGGGCAGGGTAATTCGCAGCTGGGGCTCTCCAGAACTGTAAGGAACAGCTAAATGACTTGGAAGTTAATTGCCTCAGCATTCCCACCAAGGTATTTGAGGTGGGAAGAGAACTAGTGTTATCAGACAAGAAGAGATCAGCACAAGGACAGGGAGCGAGGTAAGGAAGCCAGGTCCAGTCAAAGGGTGTAGGCTGGAAGAGGCTGGCAAAGCACCAGGAAAGCACAAGGTACAGGCACAATGGTCCCACTCTGGGGAAGAGGCAGATTCCCCCTGGAGGCTGACACCCTGGGCCAAAGTTCTGATTGCCCTACTTTATGGACCTAAGCAAGGTTGTTCACAGGTACGTGTATTGGTGCAGGATTGACGCAGCTGCTATATCACAGCCCACACAAAGCATGCCCAGAACTGTAAGAATTAAGGGTGACAAAGATTTGTTTCAGATCCATCTTAAAGCTGGCTTTCCAACTTGGACTAACCGAGCTAATTCCCAGCTCCTCATTCCTAAAGAAGGGGTATGTGGCACAGGCAGTAGAACCAGGACCTCTGTGTTTGTAGTAGTGAGCCCCTACAGGTACCTACAGCCACCACACCGGGATACTCTAGATTCAGTCCTTCTTTCCTTCTACCACCCTACATTCTAGACCACAGGTGGGCTTCTTCTAGGGTACTTAATTACAACAGAAAAAGATAGGTCCAGATTGGTAGGAAAAATGATGAATCTCCGAAAGTGGTCATGGGCAGCTAGGTAATTAGAAAAAAAAAATACTATTAAGTGGTGGGGCAGGGAAAAAAATTCCAAATGAGATCATGAAGAGTTGGACATGACTAAACAACAACAAAAGTGATCACATGTATTTGAATTCACACTAAAAGGTAGAATTATGTAAAATATGGTCATTGGTTTTAGCTCATAGGAAATATGCAGTGCAAATTCTAATAATATGATACTTTAGGGGATTCATTACTCCCACTGATCAGGGCCTAGCTGTACATCATCATCATCATCATCATCATCATCCATCATCATTATCATCATCATCATCATCATCATCATCATCATCATCATTGCCCACATTCATATCATGCTTTAAGATTCACAAACCTCACAGTCCTGAGAGATAGACAGCATAAGTATTAATACCCTTCTTACACCCTACTCTCCCCCATGTACTCTGATCCAGTGTACTAAGCTTCCTTGCTGCTCATCTCACAAAACACTCCATCTCCTGACTCCAAGCATTTTCTCTGGCTGTCC